GTGCTTCCTGTATTTGCATGTCCCTTTTCTTTTTCCAAATTTGAGAAAATTTTTTTGTTATTATTTCACTAAAAGGCCTTCTAGTCCTTTCTCTCTTTCTACTCCTTCAGAAACTCCTAGAACCCATATGTTTGGTTGTTTGATAGTATCATGTAGATTCCCAACAGTTTTTTTTTTTTATTTGACAGGTAGAGTTATAAAGTGAGAGAGACTGAGAGAAAGAGAGAAAGGTCTTCCTTCCATTGGTTTACCCCCCAAATGGCCGCCATGGCTGGCACTGCACTGATCTGAAGCCAGGAGCCAGGTGATTCCTCCTGGTCTCCCATGGGGGTGCAGGGGCCCAAGCACTTGGGCCATCCTCCACTGCCTTCCCGGGCCACAGCAGAGAGCTGGACTGGAAGAGGAGCAACTGGGACTAGAACCTGGTGCTCATATGGGATGCCGATGTTGAAGGTGGAGGATTAACCAAGTGAGCCACCCAACAGTGTTTTTAAAGAGTTTTCTAATTTCTTCTTGTTTTTTGTCTGACTGGATAATTTCTTGTGCTTGTCTTCTAAGTCAGATATTCTTTTTTCTGCTTCACCAATTTTGTTGTTAAGTCTTTTCACTGCATTTTTTATTTGTTCTGTTGAATTCTTCATTTCATCTTGATTTCTCTTTAGGATCTCAATTTTGTGGGAGAAATTTTCTTTCATGTCATGCATGGATTTCAGTAATTCATGCATTTGCTTCTGATTACTTCCAAGTAATCCTATGATCAATTTTTTGAATTCCATTTCTTGCATTTCTTCCCTCTCATCATCTTCACCACCTAGTATTCAAGTGTATTCTTTTGGGGTCATCATGTTGTCTTCCTTATTCTTGTTTCTGGAATTGCTGTATTTGTTACTCATTGTATCTCCATGAATACTTTTTTTTTCCTCTGTGGTAGCTTTTATCTTTGGACTATGTCTAAGTGGATTAGTGGAGCTTCTTCTGGGTCTCCCATGCAGGTGTAGGGGCCCAAGAACTGGGGCCATCTTCTACTACTTTCCCAGGCCACAGCAAAGAGCTGGATTGGAATTGGAGCAGTTGTGACTTGAGCTAGTGCTGTATGGGATGCTGGCACTACAGGCGGTGGCTTTAACCACTATGCCACAGTGCTGGCCCCAGTTAGCTAAGTTTTTATGTTCATTCATGTGGGTCTTGCATATTGCTTACTGAGTTATTCTATGTTTTCTTTATTCTGTTCCTGCTGAGAATGTGGTGTCCCCCATTACCTGTCCTAATTGATTACTGATGATGAGAAGAAAGTTACCAATATTAATATACTGATCTCATCTCTTTTGGTGTTTTTTTTTTTTTGACAGGCAGAGTGGACAGTGAGAGAGAGAGAGAGAGAGAGAGAAATGTCTTCCTTTGCCGTTGGTTTACCCTCCAATGGCCGCTGCGGCCAGCGTGCTGCGGCCGGTGCACTGTGCTGATCCGATGGCAGAAGCCAGGTACTTCTCCTGGTCTCCCATGGGGTGCAGGGCTCAAGCACTTGGGCCATCCTCCACTGCACTCCCTGGCCACAGCAGAGAGCTGGCCTGGAAGAGGGGCAACTGGGACAGAATCTGGCGCCCTGACCGGGACTAGAACCCGGTGTGCCGGCGCCGCAAGGTGGAGGATTAGACTAGTGAGCCGCGGCACTGGCCTTGCTGGTTTTTCAACCTACTATTTCTTTTTTTTTTTAAGTTATTTGTCAGAAAGTAAATTTTCATTGCCTTCTTAACAGATTCCATTTATTTATTTATTTATTTGACAGGCAGAATGGACAGTGAGAGAGAGAGAGACAGAGAGAAAGGTCTTCCTTTTGCCGTTGGTTCACTCTCCAATGGCCGCCGTGCTGCTCCGAAGCCAGGAGCCAGGTGCTTCTTCTGGTCTCCCATGCGGGTGCAGGGCCCAAGCACTTGGGCCATCCTCCACTGCACTCCTGGGCCATAGCAGAGAGCTGGCCTGAAAGAGGGGCAACTGGGACAGAATCTGGCGCCCTGACCGGGACTAGAACCTGGTGTGCCGGTGCTGCAAGGTGGAGGATTAGCCTAGTGAGCCATGGTGCCGGCCTCAACCTACTATTTCAATATTATGTACTTCAGGAAGTTCATAGAAAATGAAATTAAAATGTAGGGGTTTTTTTTTTTGGTGCAAAAAATGAAATCCATGCAAACAAGGAGTTTTTAAAAAGGTTCATGGAACACGCATAGTGTGAAAAACTATGGATTTCCAAATTTTTGTACCAAAATAATTAATTCCATTTTTTCATGGACATCCTGAAGTATTCTCATATTTAAGTTCCCTCATAAGTACCCCAAGTTTTTCTTTTTCTTTTTAATAAAGATTTATTTATTTGAAAGAATTACAGACGGGGGGGGGAGAGTTTGATCCTCCATCTGTTGGTTCACCCCCCAGATGACTGCAATGGCCAGGCCGAGCCAGCCAAAGCTAGGAACTCGGAGCTTCATTTGGGTCTCCCACTTGGGTAGCAGGGGCCATCTTCTGAAGCTCTTCCCAGACAATTAGCGGGGAGCTGGATCAGAAGTGGAAAAACTAGGACATGAACCACCACTCATATGGGATGTTGGTGTTGCAGGCAGCAGCGTTACCTGCACACCAACGCATCAGCACTGCCACCTCCACACCACTTTATTTTCTTATCTTATTGCATTGCCTAGAACCTCCAGAATAATGCAAGTTCTAGGATTCCCTGGCTTGTTCTCAGACTTTAGTGCACATGCATGTGGATCACTGCTGTAGAACTCTAGCAAACTCATCCTATCAAGTAAGTGTCTCATCGACTCACAGCTTAGTAAGAGTATTTCCCTTGGGTCAGACATTTGGTGCAGCAGCTAAGACATCACTTGGGATGCCCATGTCCCATAATGGAGTGCCTGGGTTTGAGTCCCAACTCTGTTCTCCATTACAGCTTCCTTGGAGGCCATGCAGGTGATGGCTCAATAGTTGGGTCTCTGCCACCCATGTAGACTTGAGTTGAGATCCAGGCTCCTGACTTTGGCCTAGGGACTTGGGGAGTGAACCAATGAATGGAAGGAAGGTCTGTTTCTGTGCCTTTGAGAAATTGATTTTGTATTATTTTTAAATAGGTTGTAACTTGTTAAGTGTTTTATCGCTTAATAAACAATTTCATGAATAGATATTAAAAATGTCAAAAATCTGCTATAATATGGATGCAACTTGAAGACACTATGCTAAAAGAAATGAGCCACACACAAAAAGACAAATACTGTATGACTGCACTTACTTGAGTTCCCTGAGTAGACAAGTTATGGAGGCAGAAAATAAAGTAGAGGTACCAGGGCCAGAGGAAGAGGAATGGGAAGTTATTGTTTAATGGATGCAGACTTCCTGTTTGGGAAGATGGAAAAATTCTGGAGGCAGATGGTGGTAACAGTTGCGCAACAGTGTGAATGTACCTAATGCCACTGACCTGCACTTTTAAAAAAATGGGCAAAAGGGTACATTTTATGCTCTGTATATTTTACTATAATTAAAAAGTAGAAATAGCATTATATAATAGAGAGATGGAGAGATAAATATGTATTGCCCTTTAAAAATACACTTCTATAGTGCTTAATTTTATGTTATATTCTTATAAGTTTAAAGGTTTTTCTTAACAGCCCCAGAAAAGCCTTCCATTTTCATTACAAAACCAACCACCTCTCACTGGCCCATCGTCTAAGCTGGAACACAACTAATCTGATGTCCCTGACAGTATCTCAATGCTGTATTCCTGTGAGAAACAGCAAAGGTAATGCCCCAGGCTTCTTGTGGTTTTGGGATAACAGAAGGCAAGTTTGTTGTTTTTTAATGATTCTGTGCCTGTTTTAACTTAGTGAGGAATGCTCAGATGCAACCATCTCAGACACAGAAACCATTTCATTCTGGAGGTGAGGTGACTCAGTCTAAGGTGACCCCAGGATCCCCCCAAAGTGAGTGCCCTATAACCAGATGAAGACAAAGACCTGGGTGGGGCAGGTGGCCAAGTTCTTCTGAGAGCATTTGCTGCTTTCCAGGTGGAGATGGGCGGTAGGCAATTTAGGAGAAGCTGAGGAGGGGCCTGCAGCTGGGAGAGACTAGATCTCACCACACAGGCAGAGTAGGGGTCCACAGCACAGCAAGATGGCAGAGGAGGACCCAGGGTGGTGGTCTGGGACCCAGGGGGCAGGGGCTTGAGAGAACGGGAAGCCAGGGAGGAGAAGAGTGGGTAGTCTCACATACCAAGGGGAAGAGAAGCACTAGAAAAAGGGCAGACCCTGTGTCGCATCCTGGAGAGAACTGGAGAGGAACCTCAGACTTGACCCTGACGAGGACTTTCTTGACCGTGACCTGAGATATTTCAGAAAGAAACAGGGATGAGAGCCGGGGGCCATTGCCCTGTCCCCAGGGTGAGAAGACAGTGCCTGGTGCAGGCAGCATGGGTGTACAGATGACAGGTGGATAAAGGACAGATGACTAAACATGCAGACGTTTAAGCAGATGCATGGACAAGTGGATGAAGGGTGGCTGCGTGAATACACAGATGCTGGACAAATGGATGGACGTCCTGGGCACAGAGCAATCAACAGCTGCAAAGTATGGTCTGAGGAGGCTTCATGGATGAGGTGGGGTGGATCTGCATCTCCATGAACAGACACCAAAGCAGGGGTGTCTCCATAATGCTTTGAGTCAGACATGGCCCCGTGTCCTTAGGTCTAGGGATATGAGAAAACTTACAGACCCTAAAATAAGGCCGCATCCCTTGGTCACCTGAGAGGGATACATCACTGTGATTTGCTGAGCTCTTGCTGTGCACAGCAGCACAGTCAACACAATTTGCAGGAAGGACACACTGGGGTCACTCCAAGGCTGCCTTGGACAGGGTGCCAGAACTCTGGGGGGGGGGCGGGGGGGCTGGCCAGCCACCTGCACTGTGCCGAGAATGCAGCCCTACCTGCTGAACCTGTGCCTGTAATGCCCCACAGGTTGCCGCTCCAGCCCGGCCCCCAAGAGGCAGGCCCCAGGTGCTGGCCCCACGGGTTTTGGTCTGAGTCTCAGTCATGGTGGTATATCTTTGGCAGTGGGACCCAGCTCTCAGTCACAGGTAAGTGGCTCTCCAAGCCTCTCCCTGCCATCCCACCTCCTGCTGTCTGTGCAAAGTCTGTTTTCTCTCCCTGGGGACTTTGCCCTTCTGCCTCTCCCACCTTTAGGGTCCTTGCCTTTCACCATGGGTTGTGGGAGAGGTAGGTGGTCTCAGGACAGCTCACAGAAAGGATCCCAGCAGCAGGAGCCTTCCTATCCCAACACTCGGACATGGCCAGGTCTGGGGACCTGGGCTAGGGGTTGCTCAGGGACAGGGGCTCCTTCCCTCTTCTAAGGCAGGTCCCTGAAAAGGGGCAGAGACTGGTTCTGATCAGAGGTTCCAGCAGGCATTAGAGACAGCCCCTGACTCTCCAGGGTCTGGGTTGAGGGCCTGAGGTCCATCTAGGCTGGGAGAAGCACCCAGGAGGCCCAGGGGCATGGCCGGGGCTGTGACCCCAGCACCCAGAGGCACAGGATCCCTCTGAGGGAGGGCCAGCAGAGGGTGGAAAGGGCTCTGACTCTTGCTAGGCTGTGCTATCTGAGCCTCTGCTGGGCCATGAGGACACAGGGACACTGAGGGACAGGACAGACTGGGTGAGGTGACCAGAGCCCAGGGCTAGTCACAAAGGAGCAGATCTGGAGCCCCTGGGGTCCATGTCTCCCCTGACCATGGCCTGGCCTCCTGCCTTCCCTGAAGGGCACAGTAGACCCAGTGGCCCAGGAAGGGGGAGCAGAGGGCAGCTCAGAGAAGCTCTGGCTGCCGGGTGGAATGAGAGGCTGCTGGGGCAGCCATGGGGGTCACTCTGCCCTGGTTTGGGGAGCATTCCCAGGAGCCAAAGCAAAAGTGAGCCACTGGGGGGGAGGGGGGCCTCACTGGGACAGAGCCTGAGGGGGCAGGAGGCTTCAGGACCCTCCCTCACATGCTGAGCACAGGCTGGGGCCGTCCCCACACAGCCCTGACTGTGCTGCTGGGAGGGTGGGACCTTTGTTCAGAGGAGTCTCCAGGCACTGAAAGAATGAAGTGGAGGCCTTGGCTGGGGCTGGGGTTCAGCAGGTCAGGGCCAGATTCCAATCTCAGCCTCTGGGGACCGGAGAGGAGCAAGGCTGCCCAGTTATGAAGGGAAGCTGAGGCTGCAGAGGGGATGAGCAGGGTCTACTCAACTGGGAGAGACTTGGAAGGGCTTTGGGAGGGGGCAGGACTGTTTGTTCCCTAGGCAGCTGATGGGCAGGAGGGGAAGAGAAAGGAGCATGGTCCCTGGCGGGGGTTGGGGGAGGATGGGGACAGATGGTTGCATGTGAGAGAGCTCCCCAACACCCAGACCCATCTCTGCTATGTCACATCCCTCTGTCCCTGCAGGTCAGCCTGTGGTCGCCCCCTTGGTCACTCTGTTTCCGCCCTCCTCAGAGGAGCTCAAGGCCAACAAGGCCACCCTGGTGTGTCTGATCAGTGACTTCTACCCAGGCACAGTGACAGTGGCCTGGAAGGCAGATGGAGCCACCATCACCCAAGGCATGGATTTCACCCAGCCCTCCAAACAGAGCAACAACAAGTACATGGCCAGCAGCTTCCTCAGCCTCTCACGTGGACAATGGACATCGCATAGCCGCTTCATTTGCCAGGTCACCCATGAGGGGAAAACCACGGAGAAGAGCGTGGCCCCTGCACACTGTCCTTAGGGACCAACTCTCACCCACCCATGGGGTCTGGAAGCTGCAGGACCCCAGGAGAGGGCTTCTCCTTCTACCCCTTCCCTGATATCCTGGCCCTCCCCACCCCTGCATCCAATAAACTCTCAATAAACATCCTCATTGTCAATTACACATCCTGCTTGGTCTCATTTTTTTTAGTCTCTTATTTAATCTGCAACCTCCCTGGAGTTCTCTGGTTGGGGGAGTTTCCCACACCCAGTGAGGAGGCAGCCCAAGGGGCGAGACTCGGGGTCTTCTGAGGACGTCACACAGGAAACACCCCAGGAAGGAGAAGTTTGGTCACTGACATCAGGGCCTCTGACCTCTCCTTTCTCCCCTTCCTCCTCCCAGGAGAGGGCCCCCCACTCCTTGCCTCTCTCTTGGGTGGAGACGTCCTTGACTGACCTCTGCATCCTCCCACCCCATGCCTTCTTTCCTCAGCTTGAACCTCCTCTGCCCCTGGCCCCTGCCCCCTGGAAAGTACTCACCTCCTCTTCCCTGCTCAGCTCCTGCCTGCCTGCCTCCATTCCCCATCACCCCTGGTGACCTGGACAGCTCACAGGGCACACAATGCTTCAGAGCTACTGGATTCATGGGCTTTGAAATTCAGTGGCTGCCTTGAGTCCTCACTCCATGGCAGCTTCAGAGGCAAAGGGGAACAGAGAAACCCAGGAAAGAAACTGTCTCACAAAGGGACTGCCAGGAGGCAGGCACCTGAGGGGTCTGGCCAGGCAACAGGAACTCCACAGGAGACTCAGCCACCAGCTAGGGAAGGAGCTGGAGGAACCTTCAGAAAACTGGGTCAGGATCTCCCCCACAGCCAACCTGAGACTGATGGCAAAGAGAAACCCGAGAGACCCCCCCAGGCTCAAGAACGTGTCACGTGGTCCCAGTGGCACATCAGAGCCTCTGTGGGATCAGGCTGAGCGGGACCCACGGCCATGCTTGAGCCTTTCCTGCCATAACCACTCTCAACCGCCACAGCTTCCTCCTGAGAGCACTGCTCACACAGCAAGGGTCTGTTGTGGAAAATTTCCTACTGGGGCCCTCAGAAAGCCCTGGGCTTTTCCAGAAACTTCTGGGGGATATGGGTAGAGTTGTCATTTATTCAGGCAGGGAAACAACCCAGAAGTGGGAGCAGGAGGTACCACATGTTTCTCTTAGAAAAGAGTATTTATTGGAGGGATACAGACAGAGACACAGCTAGACAGAACTCCCATCTCTTGGTTTCTCTCCTCAATGTCCACAGTGACAGGGACTGGACTGATGCTGAGACCTGGGAGCAGGTCTCCCATGTGGGAGGCAGCAAACAATTACTCAGCCATCACCACTGCCTCCTAGGGTCTGCATCAGCAGGAAGCTGGGGTCAGCAGCTGGAGTAGGAATGGAACCCAGGTATTCCAATGTGGACACTAGGCTACATGGCCCCTCCCTACAACACACCTGTGCTGAGCACCTTCTGTTTCCAGGAACTGCCTAGAGTGTCAGGACTTCTCTTGTGCATGCAGCATGAAGGAGTGAGGTCCTTCCATGAGGACTGCAGGCCGGAAAATCATTAGTACATTTTTTCTGTGTATAGTTATGTAAATATGGCAATAACCTTAGAAATCTTATCTTGTGTGCTTATAATTACTTATTGAAAATGACAAATTTGTCAGTGCCGTGGCTCACTAGGCTAAACCTCCACATGCGCACCAGCACCCCAGGTTCTAGTCCCGGTTGGGGTGCCGGATTCTGTCCCGGTTGCTCCTCTTCCAGTCAGCTCTCTGCTGTGACCCAGGAGTGCAGTGGAAGATGGCCCAAGTCCTTGGGCCCTGCACCCTCAAGGGAGACCAGGAGGAAGCACCTGGCTCCTGGCTTCAGATTTGGGAAATGCCGGCAGCAGTGTGCCGGCTGTAGGGGCCACATGGTGGGTGAACCAAAGGAAAAAGGAAGACCTTTCTCTCCGTCTCTCTCTCTCACTGTCTAACTCTGCCTGTCCAAAAAAAAAAAAAATGACAAATTTAATGAGACATTTATTAATTTCTTAATTCTTAAATAATTTGAAATTTCTGTCTTGGAAATCACCTGAACATACAGTTTGATATTTGAATGCAGTACTCCTGCAATTATCGACTATCATCATTCTCTGGCCAGGAACAGTCTGAATTTTTTTATTTTTGTGGGACAAAACGGTAACATGACATCCACTATCTAGACAACATAGCTAATGAAAGATATAAGCTCAGGAGCAGATATTTAGGATGCTCATTTCCTATGTATCTGAAACTATTTCTGGTGAACACCAAATCTCCATGTCTATCCCCAGCTCAGAGCAAGACCCCTCTTCTGTTTCTATGAGATTGGCAGCTGGAACACCACCTGTGTGTCTAAGTAGAATCACAGAGGACTGGCCCTCCTTTGACTGCCTTATTTCACTGAGAACAACCCAGCATCCTGATTCTGGACGAATCGCAAGAAGAATTGAAACTGGGATGGAAACATCTATATGCTGCCATGTTTTCTGCAGCACTATCCCTACCAACTGAGACATGGAAACAAGTTCGGCATCCACTGATGGATGAAGGAATAAACAAGCGGTGGTGCATGGACACAGTGGATCATCCTCCTCCTTTCAGAGGAGGAAATCTTGTCCTGCAGGAAATGTAAATATGTATGAAAGTAGCTGGAACACTTGGATGGGACAAGATGGAGAGCTCCATATAACCTATCACTCACACAGATGAAAGTGAAATCTGAGCAGAGGGCACATTCTTCAGCACTCTTAGAAAGCCACACTGAGAGGCAGATTGGATTAAGTGCACAGCCTGATGGGGGTCAAGGTGGGTTTCTCACCTCACTTTCAGCCTCCTCCAATGCAGGTGAAGTCTGGGTACCACTGAAAGGAAAACCAAGGGTGAATCCCTGTCTTTCTCCAGAAATGTGAGAAGGAAAATTTGGGGTATCAAGGAGAAGGTTATACCAATTTGTTTTGTTCATCTCACTTCACTGACAAAGCGGTCCTAATGTCTGCAGTGGATAAGGGATAACCTTGAAAATTACTATATTTCAGCCGGCGCCGCGGCTCACAAGGCTAATCCTCCGCCTAGCGGCGCCGGCACACCGGGTTCTAGTCCCAGTCGGGGCGCTGGATTCTGTCCCGGTTGCCCCTCTTCCAGGCCAGCTCTCTGCTGTGGCCAGGGAGTGAAGTGGAGGATGGCCCAAGTGCTTGGGCCCTGCACCCCATGGGAGACCAGGAGAAGCACCTGGGTCCTGGCTCCTGCCATCGGATCAGCGCGGTGCGCCGGCCGCAGCGCACCAGCCGCGGCGGCCATTGGAGGGTGAACCAATGGCAAAGGAAGACCTTTCTCTCTCTCTCTCTCTCTCACTGTCCACTCTGCCTGTCAAAAAAAGAAAATCACTATATTTCAGCTAAAAATAACCAGAAAGCATTGTGTTCTCCAAGGAATGAGAGGAAAATCTCTAGTATCCCTTTCTCATACTATTTCACCTCACAGGTATTCTTGTCGGTGGATCTGGAGCACGGCATGAGCGTAAACACCACTGAGAAAAACATGGAAGAGCGGCACTTGCATAGGTCAGGAGAACTGTGCACATCAGAGAGCTGCAGGGGACAAATAGTCTGCAGATGAATCAGCACAAGATGTGAGATCCCTCTGACTGCACATACACAGGCCACACACCAGAGGAGGAAAGACTGCAGAACTGAGCCCCCACGGAACCAAGCAATTGACTTCCAGGTGACCTCTGAAGGGGACAAGGTCTGAGTGGACACAGCTCCATGAAAATGAATTGAAAACTGCACAAAGGTGCACCACTGTAGGACATGAGCCAAAACACCAAGATCAGTTAGATGTGCACTATGTGGTTTGCTTCACAAAGCAACAGAGAAGGAAATGAGCATCCTCCTGAGAGCTTTTAGTCTCCCACACTGTCCAGAATACCACGGAGCAGTACACAACAAAACATAGAGATGACTAGGACAGTCTGATCAGCTCTCAAAGAAAAAGACCACCGATTGGCTCTGAACCTGTCCTCATAGAGGAATGACTAGGGACAGCATCTCCTCTAACCATTTCCAAAGAAGGAAAGGCAAATACTCTTGAAATTAATGGGAAGAAAATGTTCTGAGCAAACGAAGAATTACATGAAAAACACAAGCTGGCATGTCAGGCCTGAACGTACAAAATTCATATCAAAATGCAATGGATGGAATCAGGACCAGAGTGTAGAAAAAGGAAGGATCAGATTACATGCCAATCAACAGAAAGGTACAAGTTGAAGAACAAAGAGAAGGGAAGAAGCTGGAAGCTAAATGAATGGAGCCTCAGAGATGTGTGAACCAGAGCAAGAGTCCTAATGTTTGGGAGCCTGAAGTGGGGGGGAGGCATGGGGAGGAAGTGAACAAAATCTATAAAGAATCCAATGGCCAGGAAGATCACCCTTTTAGAAATACAATCCAAGTAGCTCAGAAGCATTACAGGGACATGTGAACATCCACAAAAAAAAGCGGGGGGGGGGGGAATCTTGAAATCAGAGCCAATGGCACGCTCCCAACAAGGGAATACCCACATGAGAGGGTTTGACTTCTCATCAGAAAACACAAAGTCCACAGGATACTAGAACCCTGTCCTCCAAGTGCGGAAAGAAAAGACCTCCCCAGGATTCTTGAGGGAACCAAGACACCCTGAAGAATCTCAGCCCCCTATGCAGAAAAAGGAGGGGTGATGGACAAGAAGGAATACTAAGAGCAGTCATCAGAAGACCACTTGCTATCAAAACAGCACCAAGTGGATGGAATTCTTCAGGCTAAAGTGAAATCCTGCCCACAGGAAGTCTGGTACATCAGGAGTAATGAAGAGCAGGAGAAACGTTAAGGATTTAAATCACTGCTGGCTCTGTTTTCGCCCTTAAATTCTCTAAATGGCGTCTCAGAAGCCAAAACAGAAAGCACAGACTCAGAGGGTGAGGCTCCGTTTGTACAAAGG